TTACTCCTCTCACAGCTGAGCAGGCCTCCCCTCTTCGGTGGCTCTATTAACAGCCAACAGCTTCTGCAGGGCTAGGAAGCCATGTGCCTTTGTTTGCTCAGAGCCACACCCAGGATACTCTACTCACTGCAGTGGGCACAAGAAGCCGCTTCAGCTAAGTTAATCCCCAACTGTGCCATTCATTAAAAGAAAAAAAAAAGCCACGCATGAAAGAGAGCTTTATAAATATTTCAAACAGTCCTTGCGGGCAGGAGCTAAGTATTTCCGCTTTTTCACTCTTCCATCTCTAACCGGCTACTATATTATCTCAGAAAAAGGCTGAGATGGAAAAAAGAGGAAGAAACCACCATCATCGTCAACATGAGCAGAACGATCAGCCTCCTTGCCTTTGCCCATGCTGTGCCCCTGCCTGTGATGCCCCTTCACCTCCCCCACTCTAGTTCCCACCTCTCCAGTCTCTGAACTCATTGGCAAAGCTACACCCTTATCCCCACTGTGTAGATGAGACAGCTGAGGCTCAGAGGGGCACAGGATGGTTCAGCAACAAGCAGGTGGGGACCTGGGGATGAAGCTGAGAGCTATGCCTGCTACCCCAGCACTTCTTCCCATGAACCACACTTGATCCTTTCTAAGCCCCCAGGCCTCTCCACAGGCCACACACCGTCGCTATCAGAAACATCTCATCTGCCTTCACGATTTGATCTAACTATGCAGAGGTTGCCCTGGGAAGCAGAGGGTGGGCTCTCCCAATGCCGTCTTTCCTTCAGTTTCTCCAGCACACCAACTCCTTTGCCTCTGGGGCCCCATGGGCTACACGAAGAACCCCTCCCTCCTCCTGTGCCCTCTGCCTCCCCTAGGACCAGGCTGAGTGTCCCTGCTGGGGCCTCCTTTGCCCCTCCGTGTGATACCTTTAACACTTCACTACCATTTCAGGCTGAAATGTCAGCCTTGGCTAAGCTCTAGAAGGACCAGGGCAAACCCATTCATCTCTTTCCCACTGTTCCTGGCACCCAGCACTGTGCCTGGCACGGCAGTCATTTGACAAACCCAGTCATTTGACAAACCCATTAACAGCCAATGGGTTTGCATTAACTTGTCAAATGACTACTATGGAACAGGTTAAGGTGCAGCCATTTGAAAAGCCACAGTGCTCACCCATTTGTTACATGGCATTTAAGGCAGGGATCTGGTTCCTGTCACAACATGTGTATGTGTGTTATTAGCAAAAGGTCCTCAGGAAGATCAAAGGCCCTACCGTGAAGCCCCATAGAAGTGGATCCTCTCTGATTTGTTGAAGGTTTTGATTTGTTTAACATCACAAACCCTTCTGGCTGATGTGAGCCAAATGAACACAAATGATCCTCATCAAGGCCCTCTTTCCCAGGAACTAAGCATAACTTACAGCCTCTCTCCTTCCCATGCTCATTGAAACCACCTTTAGAGGCTGCTGGAATCACTCATTTGATTTCTCTTTACGTACAAGTTGACTAATTGTTTTCACATGAAGAACTAAAGCAGCAAGACCTGTCAGCAGATCTGAAGCCCTTATCATGCACCTAGCACACTAAACGCTTTGGCAGGGTCACCTAGGATGTTCAGGAGTCCTGTGAAGGGGCCTACATTGTACAGCAGAGCACTGAGGTTCAGAGGCATCAGACACCCAGCTCCATCGGCTGGAAAAGCCAAGGCATCTCCACTCCAGAGGGTGAGAGCCAGTAGGCCCGGTGACCACTTCAGCTTAGCAGACTGGGACTGCACACCTTCTAAGGCAGCATCCCACAGACCTGCCTTGCAGGCCATCCTGTTAGGTTTCCACCTTGGAGACTGGGGACCTGAGAGCAGCAAAGACCTGCTGTGGGCACACAGCCTCAAACCAGAGCTCCTAACTCCTGAGTCACTGCATCACCCCTGACCCCATCACCTGCCTCAGTTCCCTTGGGAGGCAGGGTTAGAGGGTCCCAAGGCAGGGACTTGCTCAAATATCACCTGCCTTCTTCTCACATTGCCCAGGAGGGAGCAACCATACCTCTTCTGGTGATTCTCGACCAACTACAGTGTTTACAAATGGGCCACCTACACCTCTATGTCTCAGAGGGCAGAGCTGAGGGACGGAGAAGACGTGGTGACCACCTCTGGATGGGGGCTTGGCAGAGGCCTGCTGGCAACAGCTGAGGCTGGGCCCAGGAGGAATTTTCTAACTCAAGACTCGGCCCAGAGCTGGGGCAGATGCAGAACAGTGCCGGGGACACAGGGGGCCTGGGTTCCCTCCTGACCCTCTGGTGGAGGCCCTCAGCCCATGCTTCAGCCTCAGGGAGCTTTACATGGATAATGCCACCCGCAAAGCCTTGCTGCCCCGATTCAAAGAAATAGGCCTGCAATACAGGACAGGCCACTGGCAGGTGAGTGGAAGTGTCAAATCCCTCTGCCTACCCAAGGCTGCCCTCTGGCAGGTGCCCTGCGACTGTCCAGGAGCCTGAATTTTGCATAAATGAGCAGGCTCAGTCTCCAGTAGTCAAACCTCAGGAGTCACCCTGGAAGATTCCACCACGCCCAGAATCCCGCCTCCAGGCCCCGGGCTGCTCCTGCATACATGGGCTCCAGTGGTCCACATCCCTCAGGAACAGTCAGGCTCCACCTTGATGCCAGACAGGAACTGGCGCGGAGGGCCAGCTCCTGACCGCTGCGCCCTCAGCTCCCCACCCCGAGACAAAGCGTAAAGACGGGGGTTCCTTTGTTTCCGGCCACACCCAGGGACGCAGCCCTGCTGTTCTGCCTCCACTACCATCCCCACCCTCTCGCGGCCCAGCGTCGGCAGCATTAACCCTTCCCGGGCCGCAGCCGCCAGCGTCACCCCATTAGGTTATTTTTAGC